AGACATGCCCTGCTGTCCTCAGACATGTCCTGCTGTCCTCAGACATGTCCTGCTGTCCTCAGGTGACACCACTCCTCCTCCCTGGGCACCTGTCATGTTTTTTCTAACCCCACAAAGACACCATGGAGTTCTTCCTGACCTTCTCTCCACTTCCTGGAAATACTTGTTCCAACTCGTCGTGCTGCACTTTTATCTTCTACCATGTTGTTGCTCAATGTCTCTCTTTAGGACGTTGTAAATATTGTAGTTAATTACTTTTTCACCTTTTGGTACTTTTTAGTGTGTACCATTACTGCATGTTTTTTGTATTTTCTTGTTGGTTTGTTCTTTGATTTGTTAACGAGTCAAATCGGTTCTTCTCATCCTGAGCATTTCATTGTTCTGTTAACCTGCACATGACCAGTAAACTCACCTTGAACCACTTCTCCATCATCGTCCTCAAATCATCAAAGCTGGATCTGTGGTGCTGCTCACAGATAGATCCCTCCCAGGTCTTCATCGTGCGCCTCATCAACTTCATTCCCTGCAGTTGCTACAACTCTGTACATCACCCTTGTTCTTCAAAATGGCCACCAGCAGCTTATGGTGTGGTGTCTCCATGTTATCTGCTTGATGATGGATGACATCAGTGTTTGGGTTTCTGTGTAACGCTTGGAGACTCTTGACATCAGGAAAGACACCTAACCTTCCTGCGCTCTCGTTCCTCTACCCTGCAGGAGAATCAGAAGATGAAGGAGCAGAACGATGAGCTGAACGGTCAGATCATCAGCCTCAGTTTGTTCGAGGCCAAGAACCTGTTTGCTACTCAGACCAAGGCCCAGTCCCTGGCAGCCGAGATCGACACCGCCTCCAAAGACCAGGTGAAAGTTCAAAGGTCATCGTTGACCTTTTCAAACTTTGTGACATTCAGCTCATTCAGATTCACATGGCTTTAGGCTTCTGTAACTTTCATACTTTTCAAAGTATTTGTCAGATGTTTTTTCTTTTTTGAGAATATTTCAGTTCCTTCAGAATCAGCTTCACTTGTTCTAACAAAGTTGAGTCAGGTCCTCTGGACGGATTCTTCTAGAAGCATCTACCTGGATTATTGAGCATGAACCAACCACTTGAACCACTTCACCTCTTCTGTTTCTGTCTTCTCAAATCACCTTTTGTTTTAATCTCCCAGTCTGCAGCTTTTAGCTGACCTTTTGCTACCGTTTACATATTTACTAGCTTTAGC